CCCTTTATTCTAGGCAAGCTTGATTGCCGCTATGAGATACCTCTGATACCTGGCACCAGGGAGTCTGTTTCTGAAAAGGCAAAGTCGGCAAAGTTAATTTTACCTATAGTGTGCATTTCTCCAAAAGCATAACTTCTACTTTCTTATCATTGTAGTAAGGTTTAGGAAGAAAATTTAAAAATTCATTTCTCTCTTGATCTGTCCTTTAAATGCTCACGGCCACCCCAGTGTTGACGTGCTGGGCTCTGGTGAGCCTTCCACCTCCATCTTCCAAGTAGCTGGAACTACGGGCACGGGCTACCACGCCTGGCTAATTTTTGATTTATTGTAGAGACAAGGTCTTGCCAAGTGGCCCAGGCTGGCCTCAAACCCACAGGCTCAGGCAATCCACTTACCTCAGCCCCCCAAAGTGCCAGGATTACAGGCTGAGCCACTGAGCCCAGCCGCCCTCTCTTTTTTATCCTCTCTCCAAGGAACAGGCCTCTGCCATCCATCACCATCTGACACTGGGGTATCACCATCCATACCTGCACAAAAAGTTCCTCAGGAGAGACTGAATGGTGGCCAGAATGGAAAATACCCCAGACTAGTGTTTTAGGACCAAATTTTGTTTTGAACAGAGTCTCTAGGCTCCAACATCTTAACCACAGGGTAAATCTTGGGCATACTTTTCCAGAAGTTTCTCTTGACCTTTAAGAGTCTCTTGACCTTGACCTTTAAGAGTCTCTAGTAGCCATGCACGGTGGCTCACGCCTATAATCCTAGCACTTTGGGAGGCCGAAGTGAGAGAATTGCCTGAGCCCACAGGTTCAAGTCCAACCTGGGCAACTTGGCGAGACCGCATCTCTACAATAAATCAAAAAAATTAGCCGGGCATGGTGGTGTGTGCCTTGTAGTTCCAGCTACTTGGAAGGCTGAGGCGGAAGGATCGCCTGAGCCCAGCAGGTCGAGACTGCGGTGGTTCCACTGCCCACCAGTCTGGGTGACAGAGTGAGACTCCAACTCAAAAAAAAAAAAAAAAAAAAGAATCTCTAGTAGCTCCATCTTAGACACTGATGGCAAGACCCCTGGGTTGATATTGTTTTGCCTCTCAAGGGTTTTGAAGCATTTTTCAGATAAAAGCCTGGTGCCTAATCCTGGTGACATGCCTGTCAGTCACCAAGACCACCACACCATCAGACAGAAGTGGAAGAAGCACTCAGAGAGGGCTTTGCAGGGGGCAAGATTTAGAACTAAAACATTTTTAAAAGCATTTTATTGCTTTCTGAGTTAGCAGGATGAGCCAAAAATTGAGATTTCTCCCCTCTCCACAAAAGGAGCTCATATATATTACCAACAGGAAAATATGAGAAAATACAGATGTTGCTGTTGCTACAATGTCTTCAAGTTAGGGGAAGGATAGAATGGATATCTAAACAGTGAGAGCACTGATGTGCTTTCTCTTGAATTTGTTTTCCTAAAATCCACGTCCTTGCCCCGTGGATTTTTGCTCTGACTCTCCTTCCCTAAATCTCCCTGAGTGTTTGTTCCTGCAAGAGATGCTTATCCTGTGCCCTGAGTTGCTAAGCGTCAAGGTACACAGTTTTCAGCCCCTAATGCTTCCTTCTTTCAGCAGCGGCAGGCATGCGCCACCCCTCTCTAAACCAAGAACCGTTTCCAGAGGAATGTCAGGTTACAGATCAGACCCAGGGGATTTGGGCCAGAAGAGGGTAATGGCTGGTCGTGTCTTTGAAGTGCTTGTTGGAATGGGATGTGAGTTCCTTTATTCCTTGGGCCTGGAGTTACCAGGCCAAGTGCTGGTGTCTTTAACCTTAGGGAGAGAAGCCAACCTTCCTTTTCTTCTCTAAGCCTCCTTTAAGCCCCAAGATTGGAGTGTGGATTTGATCGGTATTCTGATTCCCTTCTGGGTGGTCCCGGAGGTTAGTGAGCCTTGCTAGAGCTGCAGTCTCTCCAGCCTAAAACAGTGGGGATAATTCCATGCCAGAAAAAAAGTCAGGAAGAGTGTTGACCACAGTCATATGAGCTGATGACGGCTTGCAATCTCTCGCACCTGCAGCGGTTTCTGCTTCGTGCTGAAAAAGACACAATCAAGGCACTCTTGAAAAGAGATCTAAGAGAAACGCTTGAGAAAGGAGTCCTGACTCAGTTGGTGACAATCGCTGTGGCATAAGAAAATGATATGCAGCCGGCTTGCGTGTGCATCCTACCATCTGCACGTCTGGGCCCGCTGCCAGGGTTCTCTGCCACAATGCAGCAGTGTGCTGTCGTTGAAAAGCACTCTATAAACAGCTTTCTGGACCGTTCTTGTTTTCACATTTTGGTTTGGGGATAACCCAAGTTCAGATTCACTCCTCACTGTTGTGGTTCCATGATTCTGGGGGGTAGACGTTTTCACACGGACTACCCTGCAGCTAGCTCTTCCAGCCTATAGTTCCCTTCCAGGGAAGTATGGGGTGAGGGGTGGTGAAAGAAAGTGCCCTTGCTTACAAATAGTGAAACTCCTGATGACTCTATTTAGTTAGTGACTAAATGGTAACGAGAAAAAGGGACCGTCTGAGGGTTTGACAGGCGCAGGGAGAACTTTGGGCCAACCAGGGTCATGCTAGTGGTTTCTGGGATGGGCTTGTGATACAATTGGTTTTTCTTCTTTGAATCAGAGTCTTACTCTGTCACCCAAGTTGGAGTGCAGTGGCACACTCATGGCCACTGCAGCCTTGACCTACTGGGCTCAGGCGATCCTTCTGCCTCAGCCTTCCAAGCAGCTGGAACTATAGGCGTGCACCGCCGCACCCGGCTAATTTTATGATTTATTGTAGAGACGAGGTCTTGTCATGTTGCTCAGTCTGGTCTCGAACCTGTGAGCTCGGGCAATCCTCTCGCCTCTGCCTCCCAAAGTGCTGGAATGACAGGCTGAGCCACCGAGCCCGGCCTGTAGTCTCCTTTTACCTGCTTCCAGTTTGAGCAACTGAGGCTCCTGGAGAGATCTGTGCATACATTTGAAAGCTCTCTGTCCCCTTCCCCACGGGTCCTTCCAGTGTGCTTGGCCTGTGGCCCTCCACACCCCGTGTCCACCCCGCTGCCCACTTGACCTCTTCCCTCCGGGACCCTCCTTCTTACTCCCGTCTTTCTCCTTCCCCCAGGCCGTGTACAAGATGGCAGACGTCGCCTGCAAATGCCACGGCGTCTCGGGCTCCTGCAGCCTCAAGACCTGCTGGCTGCAGCTGGCCGAGTTCCGCAAGGTGGGGGACCGGCTGAAGGAGAAGTATGACAGCGCAGCCGCCATGCGCGTCACCCGCAAGGGCCGGCTGGAGCTGGTCAACAGCCGCTTCACCCAGCCCACCCCGGAGGACCTGGTCTACGTGGACCCCAGCCCAGACTACTGCCTGCGCAACCAGAGCACGGGCTCACTGGGCACGCAGGGCCGCCTGTGCAACAAGACCTCGGAGGGCATGGACGGCTGCGAGCTCATGTGCTGCGGCCGCGGCTACGACCAGTTCAAGAGCGTGCAGGTGGAACGCTGCCACTGCAAGTTCCACTGGTGCTGCTTTGTCAAGTGCAAGAAGTGCACCGAGGTCGTGGACCAGTATGTCTGCAAATAGCCTCCGGGGCCTGCGGCCTGGGCCCTCCGCTCTGCCTCACTAGAGTCTATATTATATAAATCTATATAAATCTATTTTATATGTGTACAAACAAATGAATGGATGCTAAATAACGAGAAGATACAAATGGAAAGGAGAAGCTTATTTAAGGGACGCTGGAGCTCTCTGAGCAGTGGACTCGGCTGGGTCGCTCCTCCCAGGGGGTGGGAGGCGGGCTCTCTTCTCTCCCTCCGGCGGGGACTCTCAGGATACAGGGACTTGGAAATGTTTACTGTCTGTCCACCACGGCCTCGAGGAGGGAGGAGGTGGTTGGAGGGAGGAGATATTTTGTCTGGAAGTCTGGAGTCTCTGTTGGTTAGATGACTGCCTGTGACCCCGGCTACCAGGCCACGAGGCCCTGCAGAAGGTGGCAGGAACTCAGCTTCAACCCTGATGTCTTCAGGGTCTTTCCTGGAATGCACATTGGTTCAGGAAGAGGTCCAGCGCTTCCTCACTCTTTCATGCATGTGCACACTTGCAGAATCCACGGTTACAGCAATGGCTCCTCCCCCAAACCGAAGAGAGGTCCGATGTCATCCCTGACCTGGTGACCACAAAGGGATCTGCACTTTCCCTGAACTCCAGGCTTGTCTTTCCAGCGAGATGATCCTTCCTCCATGGTTCGCTGGCTCCTGCCCCGGGCGCCCTGTGTGGAGAGGAAGAGGGGTCATTGGACCTGACATGTCAGGCGGGACATGAGCTGAATGTTTGCGCCTGGGCTGCAGAAGCCCCCGTGCATGACCGGGCTGCGTGGACATTGCACGGACCTCCCACCTGGGGAGGAAAGCTTGTGCTGCTGCTGCTGTCACTCCCATCGAGGGAGGCTTCACAAACCACAGGCTGCGTCGACGGGTCGGGCTGTCTGGCCTGGCCTGCTCTCTTCATCTCTGCCCCAGGTGTACAGTTTCTCTCTGACATTAAATACACTTCACGGAGCCACCTCTGTCTTTTCCTTGTTTGGACACCTGCTTGTCTTTTATGAGTCTCCCTTCATTTTTGATCTGTTCTTTAGAACCCAGCTACTCAGTGTGGAACAGGGTAAGGAAACTGAGACTCCTAAGGACTCTAGTCTGGTGTCCAGTATTAGGAGAATTTTTTTTTTTTTTTTTTGAGTTGGAGTCTCACTCTGTCGCCCAGATTGGAGGGCAGTGGCCGCTCCCGGCCACCGCAGCCTCGCCTTGCTGGGCTCCGGTGATCCTTCCGCCTCAGCCTTACAAGTAGTCAGAACTACAGGCATGCGCTACCACGCCCGGCTAATTTTTGATTTATTGTAAAGAAAAGGTCTCATCAAGTTGCCCGGGCTAGTCTCAAACTGGTGGGCCCTGGCAATCCTCTTGCCTCCGCCTCCCAAAGTGCTGGGATTACAGGCTGAGCCACTGAGTCCCGCCTATTAGGAGAATTAAATAGCATAATGCATTTACATGCTCTTGGGGGTTAGCGCAAGGGCAAAGTTAAACGCTCGTTTCTGGGCATGGTGGCTCATACCTGTAATCCCAGCACTTTGGAAGGCCAAGGCGAGAGGATGGCCTGAGCCTAGGAGTTTGAGACCAGCCTGGGCCACACAGCAAGACCTCATCTCTACAGTAAATCAAAAAATGAGCTGGGCGTGGTAGCACGCGCCTGTAATTCCGGCTACTCGGAAGGCTGAGGCGGAAGGATCGCGGAGCCCAGCAGGTCGAGGCTGCGGTGGCCGGGAGCGGCCACTGCACTCCAGTCTGGGCAACAGAGTGAGACTCCAACTCAAAAAAAAAAAACAATTGCCAGGCATGGTGGCACATGTCTGTAGTCCCTACTGCTTGCGAGGCTGAGACAGAAAGGGTTGCCTGAATCTAGCAGACCGAGGCAGCGGTAGCTGTGATTATGCCACTGCACTCCAGCTTGGGCAACAAAGTTAGACTCCAACTCAAAGAGAGAAAAGAAAGCTCTCAATAAATGGTAGGCATTAATATTACACTCAATAAGTCAGTAGCTATTAATAATACTGTCATGGGCCAGGCTCGGTGACTCAGCCTGTAATCCCAGCACTTTAGGAGGCCGAGGTGAGGGGATTGCCTGAACCTGTGGGTCTGAGACCAGCCTGGGCAACTTGTTGAGACCTCGTCTCCACAATAAATCAATAATGAGCCGGGTGTGGTAGTGTGCTCCTGTAATTCCGGCTACTTGGAAGGCTGAGGCAGAAGGATCACCTGACCCCAGCAGGTTGATGCTGAGGTGACAGTGAGCAAGCCACTGCACTCCAGCTTGGGCGACTGAGACTCCAGCTAAAAAAAAAAAATATATATATATATAATTATCATGAACAAAAGAATTCAGAAACTTAAGTTGAAATCTCTCATTGCTTTATTTATTTATTTACTTTTTGAGTTTCACTCTCACTCTGTTGCCAGGCTAGAATGTAGTAGCACGCTTACGGCCACTGCAGCCTCGACCTGATGAGCTCTGGCGATCCTTCCACCTAAGCCTTCCAGGTAGCCGGAACTGCGGGCATGTGCCACCACGCCTGGCTAATTTTTTTTTTTTAATTGTACAGATGAGATTCAGCAAGTTGCCCAGACTCATGGGCTCAGGCAATCCTCTCGCCTCAGCCTCCAAAAGTGCTGGGATTATAGGCATGAGCCACTGCGCCCAGTCAATTCTCATTGCTTTATTTGAGTCAGAATCTCAGTCATCCAGGTTGGAGGGCAGTGGCACGATCACGGCCACTGCAGCCTTGACCTCCTGGGCTTAGGTGATCCTCCTGCCTCAGCCTCCCAAGTAACTGGGACTACAAGTGCGTGCCACCATACCCACCTAATTAAAAAAAAAAATTGTGTGTGTGTAGAGACGAGGTTTCTCCATGTTGCCTAGGCTGGTCTCAAACTCCTGGGCTCAAGCGATCCTCTCGCCTCGGCCTCCCAGAATGCTGGGATTACAAGCATGAGCCACTGCACCCAGTCAAAATTTGACATTTAGCTCTCCTTTACCTTCTGACAGTCTACCAAGTCACTCCTGGGTTCACTGGGTTCTTGGCAAAGCACAGGTGAGGGGGGATGCTCCTTGTGCCTTCTGTATACTGCCTTCTGCAGGGCTGGACTCTAGTATCTGGGGCCAGGAGAGAGAGCAAACCTGAGCTCAGGGATCCAGGAGGAGAGATGTTATCACCCTCAAAAGGGAGGAAGGAGTCACTGGAGTTATTGAGAGAGACACTGAGTCAGGCTGCACCGCGAGTGACCAGCCTGCTGGTGAGCCGGTAGCTACGTGAAGACATCAGTTTCATTCTAGAAAACTATTTCGGGGGAAAGGAGGGAATTAATGAGTTAACTTGGCTTATAATGAGTTAATGATATTGCAAAACTGTTTAAAGAGATTCTGCCTAAAAATACTTACGGCCATACATACTACTCACATCTTTAGTATCTCAACTTTCTGACTTAACAAGAAAGAACCCAGACCTAGAGTTATTTATTTTACCAGTGACTAATTCAGTGTTACTCACATTCCCTTGGATGACATTTTCAAGGTGATATTTCATTTTCATGAAAGAAAAGGATTGACCAGCCCGGGCAACATAGCAAAACCTTGTCTCTACCCCCCACTCCCCCCCAAAAAAATTAACTGGGCATGGTGGCACACATGTGCAGTCCCAGTTACTTGAGAGGCTTGCCTGAGCCCAGGAGTTGGAGGCTACAGTGAGACTTTTTCATGCCACTGCCCTCCAGCCTGGGTGACAGAGTGGGACCCTGGCTCAAAGAAAAAAAGAAAGACTCTTTAGTGGCCGTTAACCATCTATCTTAGCCATATCTAACCATAACCAACCAGTCACACAGATCAACCGTGATATCACTGGCTGACATCATTGCTGTTCCCTATATCATCGTGTTAGAGGGTCAGGGATTTACTTAATATAGGTGCTCAGAGTACTTAAGAGTTGAAATCAAGTCCATCCTCAGAAACCCCCAGAAATGAGTTGTTCACGGTTCCCGGAAGTCTCTTCCATGGTCATGAAGGAAAATGGAAAATCCTTGTCATATTAAGGAGTGGCAAACGGGCGGAGTCCGTCAGGGGTTTCTGACTTGGGAGCAAGCCATCTACTCAAATACCAGTGTGGCCAGCCGTGGTGGCTTAAGCCTATCATCCCAGCACTTCGGGAGGCTGGGGTGAGAGGACTGCCTGAGTCCTCAGGTTCAAGACCAGCCCAGGCAACTTGGTGAGATCTCGTCTCTACAATAAATCAAAAAATTAGCCGGGTGTGGTGGCGCGTGCCTACAGTTCCAGCTAACTTGGAAGGCTGAGGTGGAAGGATCGCCTGAGCCCAGCAAGTCGAGGCTGCGGTGGTCGTGAGTGTGCCACTGCCCTCTAACCTGGGCAACAGAGTGAGACTCCAACTAAAAAACAAAACAAAACAAATACCAGCATGGTTGTTTCATCTACTGAGCGATTTTCAAAATAAGTTGGAACAATTGTTGCTTGCTTGTTGAATCTTGCTGGATTAACGACTGTCTGTGAAATGACCCCTCACACTGTAGGAACATATCTGGAGAATGTGGAGGCCAACTTGGAAAAGAAATGAGCTTCTGCTCAGAACCACAGAGTGTCGGAGCAGGAAGGGAATATGGCAATCGGAGCTCAAGCTCCTGGGTTTCCGGATAAGGAATTCCAAATCTTGGGCAGGTCCTAAATCTTGGTGTGCTTGTAAAATGTAGAGTCCTGGCCAGGCGCTGTGGCTCAAGCCTGTCATCCCAGCACTTTGGGAGGCCGAAGTGAGAGCCTTGCCTGAGCCCGGGGGTTCGAGACCAGCCTGGCAACTTGGCGAGACCTCGTCTCTAAAGTAATTAAAAAAAATTAGCTGAGTGTGGTGGCATGCGCCTGTAGTTCCAGCAACTAGAGAGGCCGAGGCTGAAGGATTGCCTGAGCCCAGCAGGTTAAGGCTGCTGTGGCCGTGAGCATGCCCTTGCCCTCCTGCTTGGGTGACAGAGTGAGACTCCAACTCAAAAAAAAAACAAAAAACAGAGCCTGGCTGGGTGTGGTGACTCATGCCTGTCATCCCAGCACTTTGGGAGGTGGAGACAAGAGGATTGCCTGAGCCCAGGGGTGCGGGGATCCTGCCCCTGCAGGGATAGGGAGTCTCTGGCAGTGTGACAGCATCAGCGATTAAACTGGAGAGATAGATATAAAGAGAAAGAAAGGGGGGAGAAAGAAAGAGACTGGGCTCCTGTTCAAGTGACCAGAAGCTATTTAATGGGTGTAATCCCAGGGCTTTTATCCCCGAACTCTGCAACATTATCATCATGGGAACCCCTGCTGCTATGGTTACACAAAAGGTAGCATGTGCCTTTCTTGTTTTTTTGTTTGTTTGTTAGTTTGTTTGAGTTGGAGTCTCACTCAGTCGCCCAGACTGGAGTGCAGTGGCTGCTCCCGGCCACCGCAGCCTCGACCTGCTGGGCTCCGGCGATCCTTCCGCCTCAGCCTTCCAAGTAGCCGGAATTACAGGCATGCGCTACCACACCCGGCTGATTTTTTGATTTGTTGTAGAGATGAGGTCTCTCTGCCCAGGCGGGTCTCTAACCCGCAGGCTCAGGCAATCCACTCACCTCAGCCTCCCAAGGTGCGGGATTACAGGCTGAGCCACTGAACCCGGCTGCATGTGCCTTTCACATGAACAGGTCCAGGTGCACACAGGACATCCCCCACTCTCAAGCAGATGTATTTTTCAAACATAAGGAAAAGCATGAAATTCTTATCCAGTTTCTATGTACCCTTAATTGTTTGTAGCTACATAACATCGTTCAATACTTACACCTGAAACCAACATAATGATCTATTACCTTTTACTATTCTATGCTAATTCAAACTGGTTTCTATAAAACAGTTGGTGCTATGGTTACACTCTCCTAGCACCAGCCGGCCTAATTCAAACTTCACTGGCCCCCTAAATCAAACTGAACTAACCACACTT